CCCCAAAACCCCAAAACCCCAAAACCCCAAAACCCCTATATCATATTATTCAATAGAATTTTACTTGATAAAACCATTATGAGGGCAAATGACTCATCAGCAGCTGCAGAAGCTCTAGGGTTTGGTAGAACTAGAAAACCAGAACCTGTTCAGAGAGATACGACAAGTTACGGATCAACAAATTATGGCTATACTTCTTCTTACTTAGGTGAATCACAAATATCAAGACCGAGCGTCATTAATAATGAAACAAAGTAAGCTCACCTCTTATCTTCCTTTCTTATTGATAAAATCTTCTGGAGGAAATCTAAGCAATTTATAGGAGAATAAGTAGTCATAAAATCATTGATTATGGAAAGACTCCCAATGCTGGATATCAATCTGCTATTAAAGAATCTTATATCCCAAGTTCAACTCATAAAATTGAGGATGATTTCTCCAGTCTGAAATACAATCACACTGTTAGCACAAATTACCAGGTGAGTAGCATTAGTGCGATTTACATGAAACAATAAATCTCTAGTTTCGTTCTTGAGCTAGCTTTTGAGATACTCAGTTTATGGTCCAAGTTCATAAAATCATATTCTCGAAAATAGGGAATCCAAGGATCTTACAATCAACCTCAAACTCACTCTTATGGGATGTCATCAAAATTAGGAGAAGGGAGCCTTGCTTCAAGCTATAATCCCTACAGACCAATAGAGAACAATAAAGGTAATTTTCTATCTTTACCAGAGTAGAAAGTATGAGCTCTTACCACCCGCCTAATTTTCCTTACTTAAGTAAGAATTATGAAGCAGGGGCAACACAGAAATTTCAGGAAACTAGCCAACCATATTATAACATAAACCCAAGTGACCAAGGTTATCCAAGTTGTCAGAATGAAATCACCAATCATTTCAAAGATCCGAACGGAGCTGCTACAAATTTCGAGTATCTTTCCTCCTAAATTTTAGAATCCCTGCAGATAATGACAGCTATCTCAGAACTCCTCCAAAGGAGAAGAGCCCTCCTCGGGCTTGGGGAGCTGGCGAGCAACCAAGAACTGCAGTACCTCAGGATACTTATGACAGTAGCGTGATTCTCAAAAATAAGCAGAACGATTCAGCCAAAAAGGCTGAACTTTCACCTGAAGAGATTCCGATTCCTCACCTTAAACAAGCTAATGAGAAGCCACAGAAATCCGAAAGAAGGAAGACTAAGAAGGAGCCGAGAACTTCTCTTAGAACTGACAGACCTAAGAAGAAAGGAGGGTTAATAAAGAACCCGAGTAATTTTAACTAATTATACATAGACATTCTAATCTTTAAAGAACTAGAAAAGCATGCACTAGAAGATGAAATCTTGGATGCAGATGAAAGATCGCCCTCACCTACTGCTAGGCCAGACCATCCCACAAGCAAGGCTAATTTCTTTAAAAAGGAGAGAAGTATTCCTGGAATAAAAAGAAAACCCAAAACCTTAGCCTCAGTTTTAGAGAAAAAGAGCAAAGAACTGGCAAGTGGTAAAACCAAAAGATGTCCTAACAAAGATAATGCAAAAGCTATGGCTACTAGGAAAAACTCTAGCCCTAAAGGGAGAGAAAATAGCAAGATTGCTACCATTAAGAAAGCCTCATATTACACCCAGTCCATATATAACCAATCTAAGGAGAAGAGGGAAAGATCTAATAATATTCAGACATTAATAAAGTCTCGGATTCCTAGTGCTAAAACTATAAGACCTCAGCCTGAAGCTAAATTTAACCAGAAGGGTGTCAAGAGAGCTAAATTTGACTTAACTACAATGTCAAGCCCCAAGAACAGAACTATGACACCTAAATAAAACAATTTCTAAGTTTAGTGTTCAAACGCCTACTTCTAAAATGATGCATAAGAAAACAAGATTGAGAAATTCAAAGTTGGTGAAAGATAGCCCAAGGTCTGGACAAACTTTCACTCAAAGAAAGACTACTCTAACTACCAATTCAGCAGTTGTAAGTAACTTCTGTAATTGAGATCCTAAATTTGACTTTCTTCAAACTTTTGAAGAAATGCCGATTAGAAAGAAATACGTATCGGCTTATCTCTTTAAAAGTCTAAATGAAGATTAAGCCTTATTTATAAAAATTTTGCTTAAAATTCATTATACTGACTATGCATAAAGAAAGCAAAATCAAGAGTTCCCACAAGCACAGTAAAATTACATAAAACACCAAAGAAATAAACAAGTTGCTAAGAAAAAATTTATTTCAAAGAATGAGGATCCAAATGATGGTAGAGAGCAATGAAGAAGTTGCCAAAGATGGTTTCTACCTGAAAGAGTTGAAAAACATGAAAGCGCATGCTACAAGGTAACTCTTCTAAGATATTTCTAGATCAACAACACTAAAAGAGCCAAATTCAACAGGTAAGCTGGCTCATTTACAATAATTCATGTGAGTTATAGCACAAGACAAAGAGAAATTGATTCTGACCAAAGATATTTCAAAAACCTAAATGTTGATAAGTATGAAGAAAAGAAGCAAGCCAAAAAGTCGAACTGGAAGAAAAAGTCATCCCAATTCAGAGAGGCAATGAAAGCAGCTAGAGAGGGTAAGGTAGCTCCTGCTCAAGACGACCAGACTCTTGTTCCTTGTAAATACTGTAACAGAACATTTAAAGAGGAAACTGCTGAAAGACATATTCCGTTCTGAGCCAAGAAGGCTAAACAGAACAAGATAAAGAAAGGGATTAAAAAAAGAAAGTAGTAATTGTATCATTCTCAACAATTCCTGACTATTTAGGGGTTTTGGGGTTTTGGGGTTTTGGGGTTTTGGGGTTTTGGGG